ATTTTATATTTGTCGATAAGGTCATTTACATTGGGTGTTATATTTATAGTAAAATTTATCCTTAATCATGTCAAACATTAAAATTTGCTGTTATTAGTTTTGTCTGTAAACCAGAATTACTACACATATATTTTTGCTATCCCTAATAATCATAAATAAGGTTAGTTTGAATTATAAAATTAGTGATTCAAATCGTATTAGACTAATTTTCGGCCAACTTATTAATCAAATGGACTCGAGTTGATCTAGTGCTTATATTTCTGAACCAAACATATTTTATAAAAGCATTATTATAATTTAAAAATAGAATTAATATTATTTCATTTAATATATATATATATATATATATATATATTTTTTTTTAATTTTATATATTAAATGGGTATAACTAATAATCAGATCAGATTTGACGGGTTAAGTGGCGACGGCCCGTAACCAAAAATATATATATATATATATATATATATATATATATATATATATATATATATATATATATATATATATATATATATATATATTAGTTTTAAAAATTAAATAAAAATTATTTTTTTTATTTTTTATTTATGATAAATATATTTTTATTCACATATATAATTTTCCACTTACTCATCTTTGTTCTTCCTCTTCTATTTTCATGCTTGTATTTTTCTCTCCCACCTTTTCATTTTTTTCTTCTAATTTTTATACATTTTTTTCTTTCTTTTTTCTTTTTACTAATCATCCACTTTCTTATATTCTCTTTCACATTTTTACATAACAGCACACAATTTATAAATTTTTTTCTTTTAGATTTACAATTTCACCTGTATAACATAAAAATTATAATTTTGTATTTTCGTATTTTTATTTTTTGCATGTTGGATATATTTTTAGATAGGAGAAAGGCAAGGACAAAGTTAAAAAAATAAACAAGAGATCCGTAATAATTTTCTTGAAATAAAAAAATAAAAAAAATATTTTTTATTCTTTATTATAATAAATTAATATATATGGTGTAATATAAAAATATAAAATATTGAAATAAATTTTTTACTTTCTTATAAATTAGTCCAATGTTTTTAATATTCTATTTTGATATTAAAATGTGTATAAAAATTAAAAAAAAATTAGGTTGAGTTTTAAAATGTCAAAGAAAAAAATTATAGACTCCTTTTTCAAGAAAAAAGATGATAGTTTTGGGAATTAGAAAGTTTTTTATCTTTTTGAAGTTATTGTATCGAGTAGCATTATTGTGAGACTCTTTGATTTCTAGGGAGTAAATATTTTGGTATAACAGAGAATTCTTAGGAGGGTTTAAATACACTTATCTTAGTTTTCAACATAATAGAGATTCAATAATATTCAGTTTCCAGAAATTCTTTGTTATCAAATTGATATCAGGAGTTAAGGGTTTAGTGTTGACTATTTAAGTAAGATGACTAATCTAATGAATGCAACTGCATTTGTGCCCTGACTAACAAAGATGTCAATTTTGATATATGGAATGTCTAGATGAAAGCTTTCCTCACAGCCTAAGATTGTTGGGATGTAGTAGAGGATGACTATGAAAAACCAGAGACCACGAAAGGGTTGTCGACCAACACACTCAATAAACATTCGAAGAATAGTGCAACTCTATTTTTGTTATTTCGAGCGGTATAAGATTTCAATTTTTAGAAGATTGTAGGAATCAAATCGGCATATGATGCATGAAACGAGTTGGAGAAGGAGCACAAGAAAGATGATCGAGTATTTAAGTTCGACGTCAAACACTACAAAGCGAGATGGAGATGATGAAAATGAAGGGATCGAAAAAGATTTCTGAATACATCTTGCGTGTTGAAAATGTGGTGAAACGACTTATTTGGAATGGAGAAACATTCTCAACAGAATAAATTGTTGAAAAGGTCTTAGGGATGACTTTGAGAATGTAGTGTGTATGATAGAGCAAACAAAAGACTTGTCCAATCTTACAATAAAGGAGTTGATCAGTTCTCTTGAAGTGTATGAACACTGAATGAAGAAGAAGGAGGAGGACGATGACACGTGTGAGAAACTTCTTCAAAATGAGGAGAAGACACTCTATTTTATTAAGAATAGAGGAAGTAGATGAGGACGTGGTGGTTGGTCTACTGGTGACCAATCTGGATGAGGTAGATTCAATGACTAAAATGACGAGAAGGAAGAAGGGATTTAACAAAACTGGTGAGGTAGTCAACCGAGAGGATGTCGATCAACGAACCACTCAGATGTCGAGTGTTTCAAGTGTGACAAATATGGTTATTATGCAAATTATTGTTACTCGAGAAAATATTTTAACTATGGAAAGGGGGGGTATTATGCGAAAGAATGTCAAAAGGTGGATAAGACCTATCCTGTAGAAAAGAATAAAATTGGAGTAACATTGTTGATGACCGATCTCAATACGGGAATTCGCAGTGAAGGAGTTCGAGAAGATACCGATCACAAGTCGATATGATTTTTAGATACGGGTAACCATATGTGTGGAGACGAACACCTATTTAGGAAATTGAAGAAATTTGAGGGCTATCATGTTTCGTTTGGAGACGCTTCAAGGATTTTGGTAAAAGACCGAGACACTATTGTTTCTTATAGAAGGATGACCTAGTCATGTCACTTCAAGATGTGTTTTATGTTACAGATCTAAAGAGCAATCTTTTGAGTGTGAGATAACTGATGGAGAGAGCGTACTCGATTGTCATGAAAGACCGAGTGCTCTAATTGAAGAACAAGTTTGGAAGGTTGATTGCTCGAGTAGGGATGGGGAAGAATAGAATATACAAGTTGCAGCTGAGAAGCATTCGAGAAAGAAGTCTGAGATTAAATGTAGAAGACACGTTGAAGATAAATTACCAATATGCTCACATGCATTTTTGTGGTTTAACATAGTTGATCTATGATAATAATCATGATCAGTGGCGAATCTTCTTGGGAGTTGAGGGGGGTCGTGGCCCCCCCAAAGTTTTATAACTCCCATGTAATTTATGATTTTGGCCCCCCCCAAACTTAATAAACATTTAATATATTTACTTGTATATTTACAATTCTATCCTCTCGAGCCCCTCCTCAATTTTGTAACTCCCATGTAATTTATGACTTTGTCTCCCTCAAACTTAATGATCATTTTATATATTTAAATATATATCTATAATTTTATCCTTTTACCCTTTCATATTCTTTCTTCCTTTTATATTTATTTATTATTTATTAATAATATATTATTTTATATTTATTTATTATTTATTAATAATATATTATTTAGCCCCCAAGATCAATGGTCAAGATCCACCACTGATCATGATATTGTCAAAGTTGGTGATGCAAATGAGTTGAAATGGAAACAATGGGAAGGAGATCGAGCTTATGTGCCACCAGATGTGTTATCAGATCGGAAGGAGAGAAAGAGGTTGTGTGTGATAAAAAATGGCGAGTTGAAAACGATGATAAAGTCTGAGTTGCTACACCACCAATAGTAGCTAGTTCGGTAACAGAGGAGGAGATAACCACATCGATAGGTGGATATGAGTGAAGTTAACATTTCTGAATAGTATGTTCAATGAGGTGTATGTTGTGCAACCACTTGGATACGTGAAGAAAAGCGAGGATGAGTTAAAAATATGTTTGTCCCGATATGTTTTGAAGGCCAAGAAGATGTGAAATCGATAATTAGGTGATCAGAATCAAGCCGATCTCATTTTTGAAGATCAAGACTAGTCGAAAGTTGGGAGGTTAGGGTGAAGCTGAGCTAAGTTTTCTTTAATGCAGACAATTAATTTTATGGAAGATTTTGTTAGGATAAAATTAATAATTGGTGTTAAAAATATTTATCATGTAGTTTTGAATACTAGAAAGTTTTTTTAGACATTTTGAAGCAATTATTATTGACAAATATTATTGTGAAACTCTTCAATTTCTACGAAATAAATATTTTGATATAATGGATAATTCTTAAAAGTGTTTAAATATATATTTCAGTTTCCAACATGTAATAATAACGGAGATTTTTTAATAATATTGTATTTCCAAAAATTCATTGTTATCAAGATAATGAAATAAATTCTAGTTTCCAAAATTTAAATTCAACTAATAAATAATTATATAATATATTTATTTTTATATAATAATTAATTTTTATATATTACTCATTTTAAATAAATTAAAAAGATATGCCCAATAGGAGTATTGGCCAAGAGTGAAATCGAATTTGAAAAATTCTATGAAATTATATGATTTTCAATTAATTCAGTTTAAAACCTGCCGTATACAGAAGATCATCAGTTTCGAAAATTTTCCCTCGTAAAGTAACACCTAATAAATCCCCATCATCATAGTACTCAATTCAATATTTTTTCATCTTACAAGGGCACACAATATGGAGTATTTAATTTTGACTAATATATATTAAATTATATACACAAGAAAAGAGGGGGAAAAAAAAAAGAAAAGGGAGAAAAATGTGTAATAAAGAGAAAAAAATTGTATAAAAATTGTTGTAAAACAACATTACTCTCTAGTTTGTATAACCAAATTACAAACTTTATAAAGAATTTGTATGAGGAAGAAAAACCAAGACACTAACATTGTGATCTATTAACGTACTTGACTTAGTCTCTCGAAACTGAAAATAATGGGAAATGAAGATGCAAATACTGAGAGATGACCACACACACGAAGGGAAATGTGCGAAAATTGTACGTTAACCGGTGCATATTCAAAGTTCAACACGAGAGTTTTCGTCGCGGTTTCTACAACTTAGGGGCTAATTTGTTATGTGACGTAATCACATAAACATATAAATACTTATTAATTAATTATTTAATGGGTGCCCATTCACCGCGTATTTGTCCTTGTGCAACAAGCTACTACATATTTACGTGATCACACAAACCCTTATATTTCAAAGTTTTTGGAAATTAACATGAAAATTAGTAGGAATTTCTTGATATATTACCAGCAATCCCTTACTAAGTTTTACATTTCAATTCAACAATAAATACATGGGAGCCATTCTCATGTTTCATCAAAATCCATCAGTGCATACACAAATCAAACCCAACACCAAATTGAAGAAGTTTGGCAGAATGAGTTCCAAGAATATAAGCATTCAGAAAGTTCTTGCTCCTACAACAAGGCCACCTCCTAAGGATCCCAAGTCCAACCCTCCAGCCACTGGGACTAAGTTACCCACTATCCAAATGGTTTTTGCCAAAAGGCCAAAATGATTTCATACCATTTTGTTGTCACAGATTATTGATGCATATATGATCAACTTGGAATTAGAAGCTTTATAGAACGTCCCACGAATGAAGTGCCTGTACTGGCTATGGCGAACATTGGAGAACATATCATCCACTGAATTTGTTTATTGCATTTGTTTATTTATTCCATCAAAACAAAATGTTATATGTACTCAAGTTTCGTACTCTAATTCATTTTCATCGTGGCTCTGTTAAACTATTAATATCAGCATCATAATAATGCCAGTATATCAATATTATGTTTCACTAGTATAAACACATGTGATTTTTTTTATAATTAATTTCTTTTAATATATTATAAACATTCATCGTCTATAATTTTATACTATATTTCTACGATTCAATAATCTATTGTTCATATAGTATATTGTGGAATTACAAAATAGAGTTGTAGAACTGAAATAACACGCGCGGTCACACACGTGTGTATATATATATATATATATATATATATATATATATATATATATATATATATATATATATATATATATATATATATATAAAAGGAGAAAATCTAAAAACATATATAAAATTATGACATATTACTGAAATACTTTTGGGCTCACCGTGGGATGAGGTTATCCCGTTTTGCGTGCAAATTGGAAGGGGTGGACCCCGTTCAAGAGTCATAAATTTGAAAAAAAAGGAGAATTGAATTGCAGATTTTCATTTGTTGGCTTGACATTTTTAAGCCTTAGAGCATGTTAAGAACTCCTAAATAAGTCATATTTCATTTTTAGGTTTATTTATCAGTCTAGTGCAATTTGGTGTAAATTTTTGAAAAATTATGAATACAGGTAAATCATGTTGCATGATTGGGTTAATTCTCATTTTAATACCTAATTGGGTATTCAATTATTTATTTGTTTTTTTAATACGAAAATTATTATTTTATTATTATTAAATTTTAAAGTAGAAAAATAAAAATATATAAGAGTAATTAATAAATTGACATACATTAATATTAATAAAAATGATTATATGTTTCAAAGTAATGTAATGTCAAGATAAATTAAAAAATTTAGTGGGAAGAGTTTAAGGTGAAGTTTTTTTTTTTTATTTCGTTTAGGTGTTTTTAATAACGAGTAGTTTATTCTCAACATTTTTAAAATAGTAAAATATTTGAAAACTATATTACTTATATATTAATATTATTATCATATATGTAGTGGATATAAATTTTTTAATAATAGGTTATAGTGTTTGTATAAATGCAATGTATTGTTAATTTGTTCTCCAATACTCTCTTCCCATTGACACAATTTCCTTCTCCACGACCCTTCAACCCATTTTTGAAAGTCTGTTATGGTGGCTTCCTTTTTATGTTTAGAGAGGATAACATTGGGAATTGATGTTCTCTGGAAACCACCCACAGGCCCTTCTTCAATTGCATTTGACTTGCCTGTTTCCAAAGCCATAAATCCCTTGTTTGCAGCAGCACCCTACCCTTCTCATACATTCTTCTCTTTATCATATTTTAAAATTTTGATTCTTTATCTTTATAATTCTTTTTATAAGTTTTAGTGGATATGTTATTTATACATAAAATAAGGGAAATAAATATAAGGAGGTAAATGTCTATTTAAAAATTAAAGGGAATGTAATTACAAGGAAAATGATATTTTAATTTATTATTTTTTATACAAGTACTTAACAATTCTCTTATAGTAAAATAATAATAATATTTTATTACTGTATTATGAGAGGGTCGTCAAGTGAATTGAATGGTAAAATATGTTATATGTTAACTTCCACCACGCATGGTCACTTCCACCCTCTTCTACAGAAATCATATTTAAATTTTACAGAAATATAAATATCATTTTATTATAAAATACGCTATATATGTATCTATTTAAAAACTAGAAATGATGTGAGAAATTCTTCTCTGATAAATAACAACACATTTTTGAAGTGTTATAAATAACGTTAATGTTATCTTTAGAGGGGAAAAATTACTGTTATAACATATATGCATCAATTGTTAATGTCTTCGGTTCATTAAATTACTGTTATTTTAACAAAGCAAACAATTTGTTAGTAAATAAACATATAAATTCAACATTTTGTCAGATAGAAAAAGACTACGAAGGTAAAAATTGACAAAATGTCATGACCATATGTTAAAAGTAAAATCAAACAATGAGTGAATTTGAAAGTATAACCACAAGCATTTGCTACTTAAATACGTCACGTAAGAAAAGTTGATACTAATAATGGAGAAACACAAATGCAAAAAAGTTGCATACCTAAAAAAGTTGCAAGTAAACTCGCACCAAAATAATGCTTGACGTTTACTAGTCTTACAACTAATTTTCTGAAAATCAAATTGAACACGACCTAACACAAGCTACTACTTCTTTTCATTGTATTATTTGACTACCATAATCAGCATTGAACTTGTCATATTTATGGGCATGGAGATGAGCAGATGGTCTTGTGTTTCTTAATGCTGTCTCTATATCTTCAGCTCTGATTGGTCCAACTTTTGGCAACTCTGTAACCCAATGATTACTTTCAGTTCGAGAGGAGTCAAATTAAACTCGAGTAAATATTTAAGAAAATAGCCAGCAGATTGTTTAAAGAAAATAGCTTATAGTTGAAAAATCTACATAAAAGGAGCAGCTATCAACGATGTTCCTGTGTAAGACAACATACCTTCTTCAGGCACCACCTCCTCCTGTCTCTGCTCAAGTTGTGACATCAGTCGTCTTAATGGCTGCATTGCTGTTTCTTTACAGAGTAATCGGATATCTGACCCTGAATATCCTTCTGTTTGATCAACCAGTAAATCATAGGGGATCGGTTCGTCATCAGGCTGTTGAGAAAGAAGTTCTTCAAACATTGCTCTCCTCGCTACTGGTTCTGGAAGTGGTACAAGGATCTTTTAATTATGGTCAAGGAACAACCATTGGACAAGGACTGACCAGTTATTGGGCATCATCTATGCATACATTGGACTAAGATCTATTCTCAATAGTAAAAGGCAATCAGATCGCTGATCAAAGGGTATAAGAGCTTAGTATTCGTTTTCTTTTTTTGTTTCACCACCAAAGATTTACCAACCAAGACAACAATTCTATCTGCCATTGATTCAAATCATGTAAACTCCTGTACGTACCAGACATCTTGAATTAATAATAATAATAAAAAAAATACAGAACGAGATTCAAACATGCCGAGTTCACAAACACATACTAGTGTACAATGCATGTCTACACGGACTTCAACTAAAATGCAAATTATAATTTAACCCCAAATTAATAATTTCTCTTATTTGAGATTATAAACCAAGCAGCATCTTATAGATAGAATGCTAGTTTCATTTGGAGAATAAGATGTCCAAAATCCAGTAATGTAGGAAACAAAGTAGTCAGATGATAGGAGATGCTCAATAATTTATTCAATGCTCCCAAAAAACATTTGACCTAATAATTTATCATGCACGCTAATATGCACAAGTTTATATGTGAAGGATACTCGCTTCTCAAGACGTCGGAGCATGGCTGCATCCAACTCCCAGGGAAGATTTGTCGCTGCTAAGACAAAAACCAGTTCCTCTGTTCGGGTCAAACCATCCATCTGCAATCTTAATCCAGATGATTAATGTTTGAGAGAGCAAAGCAGAATATATATGTTATTGTGTTGATGATTATGCATATTAAGATGCAGAGTTTGAATTTCCAGAGAACACAAGCGCTCAGGTGAAATGACAAAACTTTCTAAGATTTCAAATGCCAACTATCATGGTGAACGTAACTAATAAATCAAGTCATGATAGCTGAAAAGGCAAATTTTAACAATCTATCTGCATATTTGTGATTTTATAGGAAATAATCTCTCCTTAATCGTCGTTTGCTGTTCAAATTGTGCATGAAATGTTAAGGATCTTCCCGCGCACTGCAAGGGAACCAAAACAAATACAGGATTGTGTGCAACATAAAATATAATTCGTTGGATTGCTGAAATTTCTAATTGTCTGGAGATTATCATTATTACTTAGTTACAAAGAAGATCCGACAACCTTCTAAAGTTCATCTTTAAGTTTGTAGACTTCTTAATAAGGGCATGTTATTAACAAAAGATTGAAGCACATGTTTGGATGAAGAGTTTTGAAATGTGAGAATTTGAAATGCAAAGAAATTCAATTCAAAAGAAATTCGTGAAATAACTTTGGATTATTTATCTTTCAGGTATTTTCATAAAAATTCAGCAAAAAGTTAAAACTATACTATCAATACATAACCTGATTTCTCTTTCGTCATTCTTTAGAACAAAAGGTTTTTGGTCATTTTGGATTTTAAAATTATAATACTGAGCACTATTGTTATTTATATAACATATTTCAAGTTATTTTCATTATGTTTATGATTCAATATGATTTATATCATGATTAAAAAAACAGCTTATTAATCATGATTAGGTGGTAACCAGTGGCAAGCTTCATCAATAAGAGTAAATTACCTCTCATTATTCTTTTTGTCTCAAGAAAACAAAGATCAAGCTTTAAAATTGCTGGTTTATGAGGGTATTCTATGATCAGTAACATGAATATTAAATAAAGAATTTAATTCAAAAACTCTAATCGTGTAAAGGGACATTGTCATCCAATTATAGATTATAATGTGTTGTAAGATTGTTAAAAATGGTAACTACTTTTAAAGCCACATATATGGTAATTTCTTATTGGTTGACAATATAAATTCTTATAATGGGCTTTTGTTGCTTGCGACTACAAAAAATATGGGTCCACCAAGTAATGAAATTGGCATCTCTTGGGTTGTAAAGTGAATCCCCCACTAGCACAATCTTTTAAACGTTTTGCTGATAGGCAAAGAAAAAAGTTTCCCATATAGGCAAAACTATGAAAGGGGTTGGGCAATATCGAACACTAAAAGCTACCTGAAAAGGGAAGGATTGTCAAAAGTCAAGGGCAGTTTGGGTCCTATTCCTAGTTAATGTGGGACACGTAAAAAATAGTATAAGCATGAACTAGGTGAAGTTAATTAACTTGACTATAGAATGTATGTCCAATGTAAGAAACGAGCATCACCTGAACAAGAAGCTCAGTTTTCAACCGTCTACTTGCTTCATGTTCACTGCGAGCTTCACCACGTTGACTAATAATTGCATCAATTTCGTCAAGAAATATTGTTGAGGGAGCATGATGCCTTGCAAGTTCAAATAACACTTTCACTAACTTCTCTGAATCACCTGCAGTCCAAAATAACTTCTGTAAAAATGAATTTTCTTCTGATTATCCCTGCCTAGTGAACTGAGTAATCCAGCCTAACTAACTGATATATTGTAAGTAGCTACTAAACTAATGAGTAATTAAATAACATGTGACCTCTAATTCAGCCTAACCAACTGATATATTGTAACTACCTACTAAACTAATGGGAAACTAATATACAAGTGACCTCTGATGGATATATAATGTACACACATTCTTCGAGATCATTATTGGCTTACAATGAGATGTGAGAGAAGCTGAAAATAGCAAATAGTGCAGATTAAAATTAAACTCAAGTCATGCAATCAATTGTTTTAACCCAAATCACCCATGCTATATCCAATAGTTGTTTTATGCTTCTCTGACCGATCAGAAACCTTTCTTTTAAGATACAATGCTGTGTGTACCCTGTCTATTTGGCTAAGTCAAACCGAGGTTCTAAACAAAAACATTTCGAAACCAAAAAGGGAGTATGTCCATTGGGAAGATTCAAGCTCATTAGCATCGTATTTGAAGAAAAACAGTTGGTTGTACACTACAATTATAAAAATAAACACTTTCAACCTTCATACGGTACCCAGATTAAGATTTGGAAAATAAATACTCTAAAAAGGAAGGTGGAGAAAGTTATAAGTAACATGCCTCGCCATTTGCTAACTACAGATGATGCTGAAATATTAAAAAAAGTAGTCTTGCACTCTGTCGCAACTGCCTTTGCAAGCATTGTCTACAACATTCAAACCAAAAGTTAGAAGTTATAAATAATTCAAAAAAGAAAAAGAAAAAATAAATGCTGTATCAAAATATGAAAATACAAAAGAATGTATATTTCTTCCAAAAAAATTTATTTTTGAATTTTTAATTTTAAGTGCACACACGCACAATATCATTCTCTTACAATTTCAGAATGACACTAATGAGGCAATCTAGTATATATTTCTGATGGAATAACAATACAAACCTTTCCTGTGCCTGGTGGCCCAAAAAGGAGGATGCCCTTCCATGGTGACAACAGACCTGTGAAGTACCTAGACAAATGAGAAAGATTAGCTTGACCATTTAAAATTTTTACTCTATATCTCTAGTTCTCTAGTAAATTTTTATTAGCACATGTGCAAGTCTGTTAATCATTTCAAAGAACAACATCTTAATACCCCCCTTTAAGCGTGATAAGGAGCTTGGAATATAATATAATCTCAAATACTTCTGTGAAATATAAACTAACAAACCGATGTGGTTAAAATTTCAAAATAACAAATCTAGACATACTTATCTTCATCTTCAAGAAAGTAGCATCCGAAACATGTCAAGGACATTAAATGAGAACAAATTTTGAAAAAAAGAAAAGAAACATGTTAAAGAAAATAACCTAAACAATAAGCTATTATTGGTTGAATACCTTTCCGGGTCCTTAAGATTGTATAGTGGTTGTTTCTCTTTAGTTCCTATGCATATCAAAAGATAATTTTAGTATCCCAATTTAAGATCCATCACTCACATTAGCCCTTGAGATGATTGACGTTATCCAACTTTGTTAGTTTGCTAATGTGGCATGTTAAGTGACATGCCAATTGCCACCTTTCATAACACTGGCAACCATGTGGCTGCCAAGTCACACGACCAAATTGAATTTTAAAGATAAAGATGTTTTACTTTTTGGGTTACATAGATCTTAGTTCTTTCCTTCTTTTTGTAGTTCCTAAATCTTTCTTTTTCTCATGCTAATTATTTCTTCTTCATACATTCTTTGTTTTCTTATTCTTAAATCCTTCTTGTTGTAGGGCTAATTATTTATTGTTGAATGGCTTTGTCAAAGGTGGGAAAGTTGATGATGCACTTCAGTCGTATGATAAGTGCTTCAAATAATTAATTGGGCACTACTGTGGATAACTACAACACCTCCATAATGGTGAAGGCTTATGCAACCCAAGGAAGAGAGGGTTATGTGCCACATGTGGTGTTTTTATAATATGATTATTAATTGATATTGCGAGAAGGGTGAAGAAGTTTTGCCAATAATAGAAATTTAGGGGACTTTAATTAATAGATTTGGAAAGGATGGGAGTTTGACGTGATTGATAATTTTGGATAGAAATATCAGCAAGGGGATTGAATATGAATGTGACAATAACAATATTATTGACGCAAAATACAAGAAGCAAATGAGACATTGAGAAGGTTTTATGGCACCTTGATAAACCAATTTATTAGAAGTGGTGAACTAGATGAGCCAATTAAACTTTTTGAACTCATAATTGGAAAGGGTATGGACCTGGTGATATGGGGTATAATGCATGATCAAAGGCTTCTATAAATTGGAAAGATTATAGATGCTTTGTCATGCTTAAATAAGATAAATAATGTGCCTCATGCTCTAGATTGAAAAGAAAAGATGGAGAAAGAAGAAAATGAAATTCAACAACGGTCAAAGATGAAGAAAAAAATGGAAGAAGAAGAAGAAGCGTAGAGGAAGAAGAAGAAAGATTTATTTGAAAATCAAAACATTTTCTCTGGAAAAATAGATTAACTGAAATATGATTTATTTTATTATCTTAATACAAAGAGATGATATAAGATATATACAAGAGACCTAAACTATTTTAGAAAATATAATAATTCTATTTTATGCTAGGATCCCTTGATTTATGGGATTGTTCCTAATTATTCAAATGCATGACAGATTACAAGGAAATATACAAATTTCCTTATTTATTCTTTCCTAAAATACTATTTGATTTCTCACACTCCCCCTCAAGCCTGGTGAATAAATGTTTTCCATTCCCAGCTTGGATACAATCTTCTCAAAATTATGGCAGCCCGAGTCCCTTGGTAAGAATGTCTGCAATTTGGTCTTGAGAGGACACATATGGAGTGCATATCAAGCCACTATCAAGCTTTTCTTTGATGAAGTGTCTGTCTACTTCAATATGCTTTGTTCTATCATGCTTGCACTTGGGTTGTGGGCTATACTCGATTGTTGACTTATTATCACAATAGAGCTTCATAGGTTCTTCCCACTTTATCCTCAAGTCTTCTAAGATGATTTTAAGCCATCGCAACTCACATATACCTTGTGCCATGGCTCGGAATTCCGCTTCAGACTTGGACCGAGCCACTACACCCTGCTTTTTGCTTCTCCAAGTCACAAGATTTCCTCCAAGAAAGGTGCAATATCCTGTAGTTGACCTCCTATCCACAATTGACCCTGCATAATCAGCATCAGCATAGGCTTCAAGTTTCACATTACCATTCCTTTTGAATAGAATCCCTTTTCCTGGAGTTCCTTTAAGGTACTGTAAACTTCTGTGGGCAGCTTGTAAATGGGTCTCCTTTGGGCTATGCATAAATTGACTAATTAAACTCACTGCATAGACAATATCTGGCCTGGTATGTGACAAATATATAGGTCTGCCCACTAATCTTTTGTACATATCTTTTTCAACAGCAACATCTTCTTCTGCATTTCCAAGCTTTAGGTTTGGTTCTAATGGGGTACTAGCAGGTTTGCAAGCTGCCTTGCCAGTTTCCTTGAGCAAATCAGTGATGTATTTCTGCTGAGATATAAATATCCCTTTCTCGGAGTGGGCAACTTCAATTCCCAACAAATATTTTAGTTTTCCCAAAGTCTTGATCTCAAATTCCTTGCCTAAGCATTGACTCAATAATTGTTGCTCTTCTTTATTATCTCCAGTTAATATTATGTCATCCACATATACCAATAATATTGTTACTCCCCCTGACTTGGAATGTTTAAAAAACAAAGTATGGTCCCCTTGGCTTTGTTTGTAACCCAGACCTGTCATAACTTTAGTAAACCTGCCAAACCATGCACGGGGGGACTGTTTTAACCCATATAATGCCTTTTTCAACTTGCAAACAGTGTTGGTAGCAACATCTTTACCATATCTCGGAGGTATCTCCATATAGATTTCTTCTTCAAGGTCTCCATGTAGGAAAGCATTCTTAACATCAAATTGTTCCAAGTTCCAACCATAATTGGCAGCAAGGGACAATATCACCCTAACTCGTGTTCATTTTGGCAACCGGAGCAAAGGTCTCCAAATAATCAACTTCATAGGTTTGGGTGAACCCTTTGGCAACTAGTCTTGCCTTATATCTCTCAATTGATCCATCGGCCTTGTATTTCACTCGTATAGACCCATTTACATCCAACTGGCCTCTTTCCTATTGGTAAGGTGACTAACTCCCAAGTGTTGTTTTTCTCCAATGCCTCCATCTCTTCATCCATGGCTTGCCTCCATTTTACTGTCAGACAATGCCTCGAGATAGGGTATTAGGTAGAAGTACAGTGTTTAGGTTTACTAGGAAGGTTTTATGGGTAGGAGAGAAATTTTTAAAGGACAGGTAATTTGAGAGAGGGTAGAGTGGCTGTTTGGTGCATTTTCTTGTTCCTTTTCTAATGGCAATTGGGAGGTCGGGATCATTTTGGGTTTCAATTTCAACCTCGCACACTGGAGAAAAAATTGTTACCTCTTTTTGTGGAGTCGAGTTGGATTCTTGAACATGGCTTGATCCTGGAATGGCCTTAGTCTTCCTTGAGTACACCAGACTTCTTACCAAATTTTCCAGTTTCAACATCTTCTTGATCAGCTTCACAATTAATTTCACTTTCTTGACCAACTTCCTTTGCTTGGCCAATTCCTTGACTTGTTTCATTTGTTACAACTTCTATTTGATCTTCAATTTGATCTTGTTTAGGTTCAAATATCAAGTCTGGAAGAATGGGAAAACCAGAATTACTACTTTCAATATGATTTCGTTTAGGTTCAAATGTCAAGTCTGGAAGAATGGGAAAACCAGAATCACTACTTTCCTTATCTTCCCTGAAACTCTCCCCTTGAAGATAAGGTTGATGGAAATAGCCCTCTTGTTCATTGAAGGTAACATCCCTAGACACAAAGAATTTTTTGGATGGGGGGTGGTAGCATTTATACCCTTTTTGAGTGGGTGAGTAACCAACAAAGACACACTTTTAAGGCTCTAGGATCAAGTTTTCCCCTGTCTGTACTATGAATATGGACATATGAGATGCACCCAAAAACTCTTGGTTTAAGATTATTTGTAGTAGACAAGTTTGGATAGAAAGACGACAAAACTTCCATAGGGCTTTTTGATCCTAAGACTCTAGAGGGTAGTCTATTGATAAGGTATGTTGCTGTAAGGACAACTTCCCCCCAGAAATTTTTTGGGACACTTTTTTGGAACAACAATGCCCGAGTCTGATTTAATAGATGTCCATTTTTTCTCTCTGCGACCCCATTCTGTTGTGGTGTTTTGACACAAGAGGACTCATGAATTATACCTTCTTTTTGACAAAAAGAATTGTTGAAAGTCCCACATCGCCTACCTCATATCATTTGGTATGGTTTAAATACATGTTAGGCTACTCCACATATTGCCAATTGGTTTTATGTTGGAACCTTAACATGGTATCAGAGCCAAAGCCTAACATCTTTCCAGTTATTGTCATGGGCCAAAAGTTGCCCTTTAGTTGGGTCAAAAGTACCCTTTGCCTGGTCCGGCGGGCTTCGTTGGAGGGGGTGTGTTGAAAGTCCCACATCGCCTACCTCATATCATTTGGTATGGTTTAAATACATGTTAGGCTACTCCACATATTGCCAATTGGTTTTATGTTGGAACCTTAACAAGAATTAAGGACATGATTGAAGTAATCTTTGGCATTATCTGACTTAAGCCTCTTAATATTAACACCAAACTGATTTTTATCATGGAGTGGAAGTTTAGGAAGACAGAACTGACTTCTGATTTTTGTTTAAGTAGGAAAACCCAAGTGACCCTTGTACAGTCATCTATAAAGGTGACAAACCATCGAGTACCAGACACATTTGGAATATTAAAAGGTCCCCATACATCAGTATGAATAAGATAAAAAGGGAAATTGCTAATTCTATTACTTATTGGAAAAGATATACGTTTGTGCTTAGCAAGTTCACACACCTCACAATGAAGACTCACAACATCTAACTTGGTAAACAGAGAGGGAAATATAATTTTGATCACTCCAAAAGAGGGATGTCCCAACCGACAATGATAAAGCATGATTTTTCTCTCGTTGGTCATCAAGGATTCAGATATGAAGGAGTGAGAGATTCTATTCTTGCTTGGCGTAGACTTGGATCTTCGAGATAATAAAGGACATTCCATTCTCTAGCATGTCCAATCATCCTCCCCGAATCCTTATCCCGAAATACACAATGATCATTGGAAAAAACAACTTTACATGACAAATCCTTTATAAGTTTTTGTATAGACACTAGGTTCGTGGACAACTTTGGGACATGGAGAACGTCTTTTAAGGTTATTAAAGGATTGATTTGGATATTTACTTGACCAACTGCAGTTATAAGGGTTCCATCTCGTCGTGGCAATTTTCTTGTTGCTTGGGACATGGGGAATATGTGGAGAAGTGTTTGGCTAATGGTGTCATGTGATCTGTGGCTCCAGAGTCCAATATCCAATAATGGTTAAAGGGCGTATTCGAGACATTTAATCCAAAAGAAGGTGGAAACTTACCCGAGTATGCCAAAGAACACATACCTGTAGGTTTTTCCAGACTTACTAAGAATGGTTTTCACCCTTTCTATCTCCTCTTCCCTTGACATTATAGCAAAAGGTGCGATGCAACAACAATGCAGGTCGTCGTCTTAGGATTATGAAAAATGCAGCAGCAATGCAGGCCGTCGTCTTAGGATTAAGAAAAATGCAACAAGCAATGTAGGTTGTCATCTTAGGGTTAAGAAAAATGCAAGCAGCAATGCAGGCTGCCGTCTTAGGGTTACAAAATATGCAGCAGCAATGCAGGCTGCCGTCTTAGGGTTTATCGAGCGCAGACAGAGCTTCCTAGATCGGAAGCTCTGATACCATCTGGAAAAATAGATTAATTGAAATATGATTTATTTTATTATCTTAATACAAAGAGATGATATAAGATATATACAAGAGACCTAAACTATTTTAGGAAATATAATAACTCTATTTTATGCTAGGATCCCTTGATTTATGGGATTGTTCCTAATTATTCAAATCTGTACAGATTACAAGGAAATATACAAATTTCCTTATTTATTCTTTCCTAAAATACTATTTGATTTCTCACATTTTCATTTATCACATTTCATTTCAGTCTTATGACCTGGTAGCACATGAGAGCCACATTGAACAAAATGTGGTAGTTGAGGTGTCACTTAACATGCCATGTCAATAAACTAATAGAAAAAGATAATGTCAGTCTTAACAAGGACTAACGTGAGTGACAGGTCTTAAACAGGGATATTAAATTTACCTTTTGATACATCTAGGGACTAAAGTGAAACTACTACACACTTTCAAGAACCCAAAAGGGTATTCAACCTTATTAATTTCATCCATTGTCCATCCTGGTTTTCCTCTACCCCAATTTTACAAGATTAAAAATCACATAAATTGCTCTTCTAAATGGCACCTCGAATTCTGCATATGTCGAAACTAATTTAACTAGTTTTCTGTTATCTTCTCAATAAGAACCACTCCAAAATCTTCTCAACTACACTTATTTCATATATGTCCTCCTAAGATACACCTTTAATGGTTGTCCTACTGAAATTGTTGTATCAAAAGTTATATCACCCTTTCGTAAATCACCCCATCAAAAACACAAGCTAAAACCCATTAAGGCACTAAGCAGTCAAAAGAAATTACACTCCCAGAAGAGGTGCGAAGAAGCTTCAGCTGAAACACACTTGTATTTCAACTAGTTAGAGATACTAGAAACCAGCAAAAGATTCACACTTCCAAAAACCTTAACTTCAATTTTCCTCCTGCCGGCATGCTACAACCTACTGGGCAAGTTATTCAATCTATGATGGAGTGGCAAGTTGGAAACAGAGAAGCCATTTGATGTCTGTTAAATCCTTGAAAATGTTTGACAAAGTAAAATTATGTATGATTTACTCCATTGAGATAATAAGGGAAAATAGCCAATTAAATAATCCAAAATATTGAAATTCCAGCTGTTTATATATAAGAATAATTCTGTCCAGTTAACATCTTGAAATATATATTAATAGGCATGATCTACAATCTAGATAAAATATTGTTTCAAGATATCTATTACAAAAACTAAAGCAGAGTGCAAATCACCATACAGTTAAACTAAATCAAAAGAAAACTCATCTCAACATTACTGTTATCCCTGCTTTCATCTTAAATTACAAACACTAGTTTATCAACAGCATCCAATGAAAATATTTCATTTGCAACATACACGAGAATATCTTGACAAGCAGTGAAACAAAAACGGTAATGAATATCTAGGAATATTAGATGTAGAAAGTTTTCAATAGGGATACCTACTTGGGATACTTAATTGGCATAACAACAGCCTCTTTCAGTAAACGTTTGGCATTCTCTAAGCCCTTGATACTTTCCCACTTAACATCTGGACTTCCACGAATGATATCCCTGCAATGATATGATGCGCAATGACAAACATATGTGAAAAACAACTTACAAAATAGACCCACACATGAAAATCTTGACCAGAGACGACTAACTTTTCCATATAATCAGCAGTTGTATCAAAAGTGTTGGAGGGGTTGAGAGAGAAAATATACCTACTTAGGCTCTCTGCTAAAGTTCGCATTTCTGCAGATTCAAAAGGTGGAAGCAATGACCGCTGCCTGAAAATGTTAGGGATTATCTGAGAAGTGCAGATGAATAAATTCTCTATCTTCCATATTTTCTAAGTTATCAGTAGTTCTAAGAATGAATATATTCTCAATCGTCCATATAGTCCCACAGAGTGGCAAAACTCATAAGTTGATAATACTAATGGTAATATTATGAGTAAAGATCAAAATGTCAATCGTGATTCATTCAACAAAAAGAAAATTTATCAATTGTGATTTCTAGAAGACGCAAATTTGTGTTATTGTCTACTTCTTCTCTTTAGCTGGTAGCTACTTCTCTATCTTCCACATAGTCCACTAGAGTAGGAGAACTCAAGAGATGATGTTACTGACTGTTACATTTATGAGTAAATATCAAATACCAATTTTAGTCATGGCTGTTAAAATATGCACATAAGATATTGTTTGTTTATTTCCTTTAGGTCGGGTGAGAACCTCAAAGGTATGGACTATGCATAAACCCCAGCAAATTCAAAAGGCCATGAAAGAAAACAGATACTTCATTGATCCTATCATCGACTGATCCTGAATATCCAATTTTTTTTAGTACCAAGGACTTCAACTATAGTTGAACTAATTTGTTACCCGATCAATTACGAACGACATCCTATATGTGTCTGATACAAATGACTTCTAACATTTTTAAGTGAATATATGCTAACAACAAAAAGCAAGAACACAAAGTGATGGCTCAGGAAATCATACGGCCTTTCACACATATTAACCGGCGAAAAACCATTTGAGTGAATCTGGTTCTGCCCCTGAAACGCAAAACCAAAGCATGACAAAGCACAAATCAGCGAAATTTTAAGGAGTAATGACAAGGTCCCCAAGAAACTTAGATGTCTCAAACACAGTACCTCAATTTGAAACTGCTCATAAACAGCCATTTCCGATGCCCTTTTTGAATGCGGATTGCCATTGGACACGATGACCAACGAACCTCCATTACTGACCACCGGTTTATCAGCAGTCTCGCCGTTCTTCTGGACCTTCTTCCTACCAAACTTAGCATCATAATAAAATTTGAAGTCCTGAAGATCCAAGATTAAAACTACGTAAGACTCTTCGTAACAATAAAAGTAAATTCCAGTCTTCCACAAAATCAACCAAACCAAACATAAAAAAATAAATATACAAAATCACAATCTATCTAGGCAAAGTTAAATTTCCATGAAATTATTCAAGCTCAGAAGAAAACAAATCGTAACAACTATAAGAATCCAATATAGAATGATCAACGAAACGCGATGCGGAATTCCTCAGGAAAGAAAAGCGAAAAACAGAGAAATCGAGAATCAGAATGGGTTCTGCGGAGAAGAGAAAGTGCAAAACCTGAAACGACCAGCGAGTGGGCATTGGATCATCGGCCATCATAGAGAGAGAGTGGAAGAAGTGTTTCTCTCTCTAGAATGTATCAACAGCAAAGCAAGGCTGCAGTCTCTCTGGCAATTGTTCCAGAGTGTGTGAGGAACAGCCCGGAAATGGTTTTATAATTTACAACTTTTAATTTATAGTTTATAATATGCAAGATTTGAGGGGGAGCAACAATCACGTGTTGTGACACGTGCCTTAATAACACATAAAGTCTGCACAATAGATCCTACTCTTACTAATGTCTCGGTACAACTCAATAATTCCCGGGGATTAACGGTCTTATTACCATATGGTGTAATTATTAAAAATTTAATATTATAAATATGAATCAATAGTTTTAATTAAATAATATATTATTAATAAATAATATAAATATATAAAAAATACGAAAATTGACAATATAAATATCTATCTATATATAATCAATGAATGTGCATTAAAACTTTTACTCCAACTTTAAATATTTCTTAAATGAAAGTCATTAAAAATAAAATAGTTCTTTTATTTTATCTATTTATATGTTATCTCTGATCAAAGAATATAATTTATAGATGCATGAGCTCAAATACACAAATTTCAAAATTATTAATATTCATTAATAGTAAACAATGAACAAAAAAAATTACATGTGCATTATAATCTCATCTATTAAATGAATTAGTGATGGTACACCAATAAAAATGTCCTCTAATTAATAATTCATTTATTTATTTCTTTTTTATGTTATCTCTATTTAAAAATAAAAATTATAAATATAATAATCAGAAAATGAATCATGAATTCAATTTTTTTTTTCAAAATTATTAATATCTATATTCTCTTTTAATACTTCACAATAAAATAAATATTTTATAAAATATACATTATGGAATTTTAACAATGATACACTAACAAAAATGTTTTTATTTAAATTATAATAGTAAAAAAATGTATTAAAAAAAGCCTAATGTGAGAAGACCTTTTTTTTTACAATAATAAAATATATTTTTAAGTATTCATTATGTTTAAAATTAGAAACATTATAAAAATATTTGTAATATGATATTTTTATTAAAAAAATCATAAATATAATAAATGAATATATTTTCTTTATATGACATTAAGAAAACATAGGAAAAAATGTTTATTATTTATAATATTTGTAGTCCTTAAACCTATTAATAATATCTTTGTAAAAAATAAATTTGATATTTATTATCCAAACAATATCTCAAAAGTAAAACTTATCCTTGTGACATCTAACTCCACAAGTGATTGACTTGCCAGTTTACAAAATTTATAAACTTTAAAATCCACTCACCTTATATATTTTTTATTTCATTGCATCATGATTTTACCTCTATAAATATTCAGTTTGACATGACACAAGGAGGTAGAAAGGTCTAAATATTATATAAGCTGATTTTTAATCGTGTTCATGCAATGATATTAAAATCTCAAAACTTGGCAAATACAATATATGTTCTTTCCTATTTATAGACTCACCACGCTGTATATGATATTGGTTTTAATAAAATAAAATGTTAGTTAATCAATATTAGGTAGTGACGTGAAAAAAATAAAAAAAATACATAAGTATTTCGTGTTAATACATAATTCTTTTTAACGGCCGTAGGAAGAAGTAATAATTATTAAGATACGTTAAGGATTGTAGATAGGTTAACGGATGCTGTTTCATTATTCTTTTAGGCTTTTATAAATCCTATAAATAAGATTTCTTTTGTTTTTAAAAATACAACAGACAAAAATAAAAAATAAAAATCTTTGTTATTATTAAGCTTGTTTCTTGTTTTTCTTTTCTCTTATTGTATTTGGTGTGTGTTATTGCCAAGACCAAATTTATATTGACAAAATACCATATTTGTTGGAGCATGACGAATATTATGCTTGTGTACTTTTTTTTTTATTGTTTCTTCTTTTCTTGTCTTGCTTTTTTTTCTTTTCCATGGAGTCATTTGTGTTGTGCTCTTACAGGAACACATGATACAATGAATTTATGTTTGAATCTTTTCAACTCCTATTATTTGCATCATTTATTCTTGTTTCACCTTCTTTAAACAAGACAAATTATTAATCTTGGAGTAGGAACATGCAACGTGTTTTACTTTCTAAGAACAAACTGAAGTTTATTTCAGTGAATAATCCCACTTTTGAAGCTTGAGAAAGGTATAATGTCATGATTCTCTCTTGCATCACTCAAACTCTATCCCCACAAATTGCAGAAAGCACCATTTACATTGATGTTGCCAAGAACATATGAGAAAATTTAAATGAAAGGTTCTCTAAAGGTGATTGTTTTAGGATTTCTATTTTACTCTAAGAAATTCATTTCATCAGATAAGGTAAGAAACATGTAACTCAATTTTAACTAATCTTAAAACTCTCGAAAAAAAATTGGAATCCCTACGACTTATACTAAGTGGTATTTGTAACATATCATGTAATTGTGTTTTAAGTAAAATATCTCTTAAATATAGAGATTCCGAATACATCATATGTTTCTTTAAAGGACTAGAGGAGATATATACTACCGTGGTATTTGTAATATACCATGTAATTGTGCTTTAAGTAAAATATCTCTTAAATATAGAGATTCTAAATACGTCATGTGTTTTTTTAAAGGACTAAAGGAGATATATAGTACCATAAAAACTCAAATATTTCTTATGGATCCCCTCCCTATTATAAACAAAGTTTTTTCTCCGATTATCCAACAAGAGAGACAACTTACTGAAAAATATTTTCTCCAAGAATAAAACAATGCAAGTTTCTACTGAAAAACATCAAAATACTTGGCGACCTCAAGGCAGAGGTAATTCTTGACGAGGGCAAGAAAGTGGTAATTCTTGGCATGGATAAGGGAGAGAAAATGGTAGAAATTTTGGTCAAAAGTAATGTTCTTATTGTCACAAATTGAACCATACTGTTGACGAATGCTATTCCAAGCATGGATATCCACCTTGGTACAAACATAAAGACAAACATTTGGACAATAATTAGGATAGAGGTATTCAACAGTTATGTAATTTGAAAGTGAAGAATGACTCTTTACAGATATCAAATCAAGAATTAAAGGAAGAAAACAAGGTTTTCACTCTAGAACAAGTTCAAGGACTCTTGAAACTTTTACAAAATTCTTCTCATAGTATTATCAATCACATACAAAAGCATGACGAAGGTTTCCCTATCGCTGAAATGAAAACTGGTAAGGTTTCTTGGATCCTTGACACTAAAGCTACGAATCATGTTACTCATATTAAAGAACACTTTGTTACCTTTTATAAAATCAAATATGTTTTTGTAGATCTTTCTAATAATTCATATGTCACATCTTACTATGCATAAACCATTCATTTTTTCTGAAAATTTTATCATCTTTAGTGTTCTTTACATTTCATACTTTATTTTTAATATAATATTTGTTCAAAGATTGATTAGAGATTTAAATTGCAAACTAATTTTTTCTTGTGAGAATTGTCATATTCAAGAAACTAATACATCCAAGACGATTGGAAAAGCTGAATTGAGCAAAGGATTATACTATCTTCATGAGTTTACTACCATACATGGTTATTGAATCGAGATTCGAATCATGAATCGCTTTTATAATTTTTATGAATCGTGAATCGAATTTTATCAAAAGATACATGATGAATACAACATAATATTTTTAAATAAAAATAAATATTAAAAAACATTAAACTAATTTTAAAAAATAATAAAATATCAACTAATTTTAAAAATAAAATAAAATAACTTGATATATTATAATAGAAAACGTAAATGTCACATCCCTTCTAATACTATTCATTCTCTCATTTTTCTTCACATCGCCTTCTTCTTTTTCTTCTCATTGATGCAACTCCATCTTCCTCACTAGTGCAACACCGTGTTTTTTTTTCTCACTACCACACCATTGGATTTGCATTTTTTTCCCTCACCACAACACCACTACATTTTTTTCCCTTCACCGCAACACCATTGCATATTTTTCCCTCACTGCAGTGTGCTGTATTTTTTTTTCCTCACCGCAACACAACACTGTTACATTTTTTTCTCCTCACTGTAGCACCACTGTGTATTTCTTTTCCTCGTGGAACGAAGTTGAATCGTAAATTCTACTATTCAAATTTGATTCATCCGATTCAAGCTTTGATTCAAAGTAAAAAAATGATAGATTCAATAAATTGTATCGAAAAGTTGAATTTTTTAAACGTATCGTGATTCGAATCATACGATTTGTCTAACTACCATGCTACCATACCTAAGAATAATCATTACTTGGCTAACATTGTTTTAAACTGTAATAAGACTAATATAGACCTATGACATTCTAGATTAGGATATCCTGTTGATAAAGTCATTGAGCACATGAGTAAAAGTAATGAGACAAACAACTCACCCAACAACGAAGAAGTTGATTGCAAAGAAGATTTAGAAGACATTAACAAAAGAAATAATGAAAAGCAAGTTGGAAGAGATGCAAATCTTAGGTGCTCAAATAGAGTTAGAAAAGTACCAAGCTTCGTAAAAGACTACTATCATCAGGTCAATAATTTTGATAATTCTAAATCACAAAAATATTCATCCTATATCTTTTGTTTTATCCTACTGTCTAAAAAAAATTTACAATATACTCTCATAATTTCTTCTAATAATGAGCCGCAATCTTATATAGAAGCATGCCAAAACCCATAATGGGTTACTATCATGAAGAAAGAAATTAAAGTACTCCAAGACAGCGATACTTGGTACTTAATTGACTTACCATCTAATAAAACTCCTATTGGATCCAAGTGGGTATATAAAATCAAACACAGAACTAATGAGACAATAGAAATATACAAGACTCGACTTGTGGTAAAGTCATATACATAACTTGAAGGGATTGACTTTCTCGACACATTTTCTCCAATGACTAAATTAACCACTGAAAGGCTTCTCTTGGCTCTTGCTACTATCAAACAATGAAATTTACAAGAATTAGATGTTGACAATGT